TGAGGTCATCAATCAATGCAGGCATATCACAGCAGCAATTTAACAGGCTTCATTTTCCAGATGATCTCACTGTTCAAACTAAAATAAAATTCGCAGTTAAGGCACAATGTGAAGAAGAATGCATGCTTTAACTTTGATAGCTGCCACTTTCAGGATGACGTGGTAAAGTTACAGGTTTTCTTTCAACTTCATTTTAGAGAACTAAAAATACCTGATAACTTTAACTTAGAATAGAGGACAACTTAAGTTTTGCTATGCTTCCTTAGGTGTAAGGACTTTCCCAGTGTAAACTTCATTATTTTAATAATTTAAAGATAAATTACTCTACACTACTGCAATGACAAAAGACATGATGTCTGCTAGTGAAGTATAATTGATATCAGACAGATGACAGCCCTGAATGATCAGAATTGAAAGCAGGATGTTTCTTTAGAGATGTTTAGAGACAAGTCACCTCTTCAGTTCATAACTGGAAGTGTCTGGAGTCAGGGTAGTGAAATAATGACAGGGCAGTGGTCAACAACGAAAATTTTGAGAACTGCAAAACTGAAATGGGATGTCAGGTTTCATCAGGCCCTGTAGTACCCATGTGCTCTCATTTTTAAATCCTCTATTATTTTTTACTCTCCCTTAATTTTTTTAATGGCAGCAAATTTTTCTGACATTATTAAATTCCTCTGGCATTTCAGTAGGGTGAAAGAAATTGAAGCCTAATTTACAAAATCACATGGCTAAAATTGCTTTTCTGTTATTTACAGACATTTAGATAAGTCACTTTAAACTTCAGCAATCCCTGACTATAAGGGCTGAAAATCAGTGGAAGCTCTTCACCTTAAACTTTTATGGCCACAGGATGAGAAATAAAAATGAAATGCATAAACGTCAGGTTTTAAACGACAGGTTCTCAGATGTGAGGCCCCACAGAACTGACTGTCCTGCAAATCACACTGTGGAACAGACCTCTCCTGGGCAGAGTTGGAGCTGTCCAAAACAGTCATGAAATAAGAATGATGACTATCTGAGGTCACTGTGGACACTCTGTGCTACACACACATATTAATCTGGAACAGCATTTAGCCAAGAAGTGGGAATTAAATGAACCTGACATAAATAACAAGACCATTTGATTATCACTGTCACCTATAATGGATCATGTCAACTACAGAACAGCTGGCAAAATGTACTGTGCTCTTGCTCATGTACTAATAAGCAGCTCTGCATGGGTGGTGCTTTACTGCCATTGAGTGCTTGTACAAACCTTCACCCTTCGTGCTGCTGGTAAGGATGTCTGGCTGCTCTTATTGTTAGCCACTATTATTCGTATACTATTCAAGAGCCCATAGCAATAGAACAGAACCCTGTCACAAATTAATGGGTCTCTACTAACTGGAAATGTCAATGCAAAAATGAATTTAAAGATGTTAATTTTTCAAGCAACATGAATTGCCTGACAGCACTTTATTACAGCAATGTTATTTACTCCTTCCTCCTCCCACGGTTTAAAAAGCTACTGCAATAAACATCAGCCGATTAGCTACATCCAGCATGGCCTTTTTGTTTTCAATTTACACATAAAAAATTTAATTTACAGAATGGCTGAGAGCAGCCTGGCCTAATGGAAAGCATCCCTGCCCATGGCCAAGGGATTGAAGCTAGATGATCTTTAAGGTCCCTTCCTCAGGGGAGTTATGAGTGCTGCTTATGTCAGTCACTTCACATAGATATATATTCAAGGTCTGCATAAACCCAGCTTGAGACATAAGCAGCATTTCCATCTCTGAACTCTACAAAAATCAGAGCACGATGTTTGGCCCAAAGTAAAAATTAACAGCGCTTTGGCAGAGCTAGCAAGCAATCAAAAGCTACTTCACAAACAACAGACCTGAAAAGCAGTTCAAAATAATGTCTGATGCTTTTAAAGCATTAGAAGCACACATCATTATTAAAACCAAGCTATTTCTGGTCATCCATAGCAAGGGTACCCTAGATATGCTTCATACATCTATTTGTTTCACATGTACTGTCTTACAAACTGTCCTCAGCTCTTTAGTTGAATTTCTAAGATGTTTAATAGCAAACATCTACTACTAAAATCTGGTTGCTTCTATGAGAAGTTGCACAATGTGATCCTCAAATTACAAAATGACCTCATGACTCAATAGGTAAGACAAAGAATATTCCCCACCCCCTTTTAATTTTAAGCTTTTCATCAGAGAGCAATGGATTTTTATCACAACTAAGTCTTCTGAAGATATAGATGCTGCACTTCTCAGTTCACACTTTACCTTTGAGACAGAATTCTACAGGGAGAAGTCCAGATATTCAGTGGCCAGATTGTCCCAGCCTTCTCTTCAAATATCACGAGCAGTGAAAGGGATTGTGGACAGTGATCTCACTCCCACCAGATGAAGACTACTTTCAAGGTCTGTAAACAAATTTATCTATTGTCCAAAATCAAAGAGCAATTCTCTCCATTAAAATGATCAAAAGCCTCTAGGGTTGTTATAGCTGCTACCACATCTGGTATTTCTCAGCAGTGAGAGACACTGACAGTTCCCACTCACAGCCTCAGGTTTGTCTTCATAGTAGTAAACAGGAGCACCTGCACCTGGTCCTTTTATTTGTATACATTCAAAACCCTTCAAAATCTGCTTGCCAGGAACATTTAACCACTTCAGAGATAAAGGAGACCAAATCCATACTCTGAAAAGATGCAGTAATAGAATCTTCTGTTTTCTTCTTCAGTACACATATTTTCTTATTTGTAAACAAAACAAATTTTAACCTGGCAAAGCTTTCTGTAAAAAATGACAAGCCTTCCTCACACTACCACCAAGGGACCTGAACCTGCTGCAAAAGGAAAAAAGATTATATTTAAGTAATTATATTACATTAGAAAGTAGTTTTGATTTCGTGCAAAAAGGTTCTTGCAATTTTGAACAAGTCCCTGGGCACTTTGCATCATGTGTTAATCAAGACCAAACCAGACTGAGTGGACAGGTACATAACACATAATATTGAAGGGAGGGGAAAAGGATCAGCTGGGGAAGGCATTCAGAAGGGTTAACATTATCCCCTGCAGGTTAATGCCTCAACTGCTTTCTCTAGCCAGTGAAGAGATAAAGGCTTCTCACAGAGTCATTCAGAGCTGAAGATTTGTTTAGCTACACTGAATCTCTCTGGAGTACTTTAACTTGTTAACTTCAGAAGCAGCCTGCAGAGATTAGCCTCAAAAAGATCACACTTGCTTTTGTGAATACTCCCCAGTATTTATTTACCTTCCATCAGCAGCTGAAATTCACTACTGAGACACACTGTTGGGTATACTGTATTGAACTCTGAACATTGTGCATTGCCCATGGACTGACGTTCATCCAGCTGGAGCTTAGCACTCCTGCTGGAATGACTGGAACAGTATCCACAGCACTGCCAGGATGACTGCAGAACTGAATTTTTCCAAGTGCACCGTTGAAGTGCTCTGTTTAAAGGTCACCTGGATGCTGCCACACAAAGGACTGCTGTGCTCCAACACCTTCAGAATCCACTCATTGTGCAGCCATGCTGGCACAGCTCCTTCTCTTACTCCGACTGCTCCTCACACCATTGGAGCAGTGGTGGGAGCTGGGCTTTTGTGATCAAGCTAAACACAAAGAATAAGAATTCTCAACTATTGAGAGCTACTGTCAACAATTTTTATGATTCTTACTTAGTAACAACATGAAAGGAAAATGGCCTTTTCAACTCAAACACATAATAAAGTTGGATTTGATTTTGTGACAAGAACACAGGGAAAAAAACATACTTCTGACAGAGCTTATTATCAGGGCCATTTTCCAACTTCTCCTGTTCTACAGTATTTCATCACATCATTGTGCTTTCCTCCCTAAAAGATGTCCATGATATCTTAAATTTTATCAAAATAAAACTTCTATGAACTCGTATAAACCAAAAGAAAAGTTAAAGATACTTGAAAGTTTTGGTGAGACCTTTCACAATTTATGCTTCTGCTAAATTTTTTTTCACAGACTATCTTTGTAGCATAAATCAGCCATCCTTTTATAAATGCAGAATACAGAAAAAAGACTCTTCAAATTAACCTCAGGAAAGGTGCAACAAACTGAATCATAAACACCAAAAAAATCTTTTCTTTAATACTATTCAGGTTATAATCAGAGCTGAAAACAACACAACTGCCAGTTAAGAGTTGATTTCCAAAGCACACCATAAAGTATGGACAGACAGCCCAGTCCAAATCTGGGAGCACAGAATTTCCACAATCTTCTAACAGCTCCAAAGCCCTAGAAACCTAAAGTTTCCTATACAACCATGTCAAACAAGACTTCACAAAATGAACTTGCAAAGATCAAATCAACTTGCAAAGTTTGGTAAATATGTTTTAGCATTGAAATAATCTCTTAACCAAACAGAAAAGCCACAGTCAGATTTTAGAGGCCATATTGAGACAAAGGCGTAATGAACAGAGTACTAAAAATATCAGTTATTTTTCCAAATGAACAAACTCTTAGCATATTACATAAACTACCTGCAATGCAGTATATCAAATACTTTATGTTCTGTTACCACCTAAGTAACAGTGTGAGAAATGTTAGCCACCACACAAAATGATTTTTACATAACCCTCAATTATGTAAACATCAGAGCATCCTAGTTTCAAAATGCAGTTAACCATGATTCCCTTTCAAAAACACTGCACCTTTAGACAGGAAAAAAAAAAAATCCTGTCTGTTATATTCCAATATGAGGTGCTTTCTCAATCAAGAGACTTGCAGCTAAAAATTACAAGCAATTAATTTTATTCATACTAATTATATTGTGGCATTAGACTAACAAAAAACAAGGCACTCTGCCCTTTGGGGCAGTGTTCTGTAGAATTCTGCATAATAACTATCTTTGGGCTCAAAATTAATCCCAAAGCATGCTGAAAAATTAACGGGAACAGTTTTTAATTATTCTCAAACTCTAAGAATAGGAGAGGAAGGTTTGCACTTTTTCATTTAATTGTTTATTAAAGTAAAGAAAAATACAGGATTTTACAGTTTATCTTAAATTTGGAAGCTGTTTATAGGCAAATATTGATTTCTGGAGAGTTTCTTTATTTCCTCATCTTACACCCACTCAGAAGGGCATTTTGTACTTCTGCATTATCTGACACATTATCTGAACATCTTTCTAAAGCACAATGATTGCACAGGACAGTTGTATTTGTGAGAATACCCATTTAACCAAGCACTGCAATACCCATTGTTCTTTCTGTTCAACTCAGTAGAAGACAGAAAAAAAAATGCAATATGGTAAAAATTTGCCAAATACATTAAATCACAGCATAGACAATTACTTTAAGAAAAGCAGCAACTTCTCTACTTAAAATACACAACTTATAGTGTACACAAGGCAATTTCTAATCTGAACAAAATATTTCAGTGAATTCTATGCTGTTTTCCATGTAACAGGCAGCAACAAAACCAAGATTTCTGGAAAGAACCAGCATTAGTTTACTGAAAAAGGAATGACATATTTGACCAGTCTACACATTCCCAATTACACTTCAATCCTTCCCAGCTGATGGCACTTCATGTGAGGAGACTAGGTCTCACAAATTCTCTGAAACCGAGTTTAATTTAACTTCACAGTACGTCAAAATGAAGTCTTAAAGCACAAAAATCTCTGCATTCTCCTTGATCTCAAATACTTGCAGCAATTAAATCTTAGAATTACTTTGGAACATTTGGCTGTTTATTTATTTGAGTAATAAACTCCTGAAATTTCCCCTCTACTTGAGATCAATACTTGAGCCAGGTGAAAGCTGTTCCCCTTCACATGGAAATAACTTTAGGAAAAAAAATACAGGAAAAACCCCAACTTTTAGCACATAGTAGGAATAATTTCTTTGTAGCAACATCATAAAAAATTTTCCCTTTCATGATGTAGGCTCAACAATATCCAGTATTTTAAGTATCTATTGATGGTGGCTGTGTTTACTCTTGTGGTGTCAATAACACCTGTAGAGAAGTCTGTCTTTCTTACAGCAACATAACATGCAATCAGCCTGTTCTACTAGTCAGGAAAGAATCAGTGCATGAGTTACTGCGTTTTTAGAGGAAAATGAACCCTTATCTCCATTTACAAAGAAAAAAAATCAAATCCTGGGAAGTAATTTCTGCTTGCTTTAAAAAAGTCCAATTCATCAGTTGCATTTTGGAGTTCCAAAATAAATAGACCTCTGCTGCACAGCAATGTCACCTATTCCTCAGCTTTCAGGAGATGTTATGAGCTCCCAACACGATCTCTGGGAATGAGCCGTAGATCTGAACCATGCTTTAGAAACACATTTCCTAAACAAAGAAAGAAAGCAGGATGTATTACTAACCAAGAAAATACAATGTTCCCTCACTGAACACATTTAAAGGATAACAATGTTAAGTCAGTGTTTAACAGCTTCATAGTAATTCCTCTGATATACCAGAAACAAAGTTTTCATGCTTCCACATAATTTTACCTTGTCTCTCTTTTACCAAAGAGCTCTTTATTTTAAATGAAAAGGCAAGGCCTTGCAAAGTGCAGCCTTTCAAACTCTGCAGTTCCACACTCAAATGCCTCATTTTACTTACAAGCCATGCCATAATAATTTCAAGAACAGAAAACAAAGTTTTACTTTTCCACAATTATTTTGTTTTCTTGAGGTCATTCATGCTTTTCTTCATTTTTAGTTCTCTCCTTGGTTCAGTACTTATTGACTTCTAAGTCCAGAATCTCAATTGTACTTTTCTTTTAGGAAGGTTCTCCAAATGTCCAAGCATATGTTAGTCTCATTTTAGCATAAAAATCCATTTGAACTTCTTATTTATTACTGTATTGTCTTAATTATCATAGTCTTTTCAAGAAGACATAATAAAAATTAGATGTTTCTAATATTTAGATGTGTTGATTTTTTTGATGTATTCAGGTTGTTATTTTTTTATTAAATGCAACATTAGTAAATGAAACCACATCACTAAGTGATATATTTACTTAACAATATATGGAATATTTACTTTTTTACTTCATACTACTACTGCACAGAATGAACTATATTTGATTCCTTATTCAAGCTTGAATTAACTTCTAAACCAGAGTAATTCTATTTCTCTCCCAAGCATCCCATTCCAGGGATGTAGAGTGCTCTCACAAATAAGATTAAGGTACTTGACATCCATTTAAATTGTCTGTGTATTAGAACAAAGCTACCCTTTTCTGAACTCCAGCAAGTGGATCAGGATCAAAATCATTGTATATATTCAACATAATGACCCTTAGAAAACTAATTCAAAATAACACGTTTTATTAATTTTAATGCTCAGAAGACATTCTGATCTTACAGACCTGCCAACACCTGGTACTGAAGGGATCTATAAAACCCACTGAATGCAAACCTGTCTCCCCAGCAAAACAGAGAACTGCCTACTAACCTTACTATTCTAGATTGGAAACATCCTTTTGTTATGGCCATCATAAAATTCTGAACATTTTAAAACAGGCTTCAGCTGCATCTAACAGAGACAGTAGTTCACCTCACCTTGGTCTGTTTTCATCATGAATATTACACTGGTTTTATTAAAGTTAGAGCATACTACTCCCTGAACTATCAAGGATTTAGAACTGAAATCAATACAGGGATTAAGTGCTAAGCCTAGCTCTTTCAGCTTTCATTTCCCCTGTTCCATGAAATCATGTAAGGAAAATGAGAGTCATACTTGAGTGCTTTTTTTTCAGAAAGGAAGAGAAATTGTGCAACAGTACAAAACCTCTGAAATCCTCAGGGATTACTAAAATTTTATTTCTGTGTATCTTATTTGGAAGTTTTTGAAAACTAAAGTAACTGTAAAAACTACAGGAACTCTGATAGATGAAAAAAAAAAAAAAAACAAACAGAAAGAAGAAGGGAAAAAAGTAGATTTTGAGATACCAATTAATGAGGCTGAACAGAAGCTGAAACCTAAATTAAGTTTGTTTACCTATAAACTGAAGAGTGATTTTGGTCTGAGCACTAGGTTTGGTGTAGGCTGTATTTTGCTTGCTTTGTTTGGGTTGATTTTGGAGGTTTGCTTTATTGTGGACTGGTTCATTTTGTTCCAGCTAAGGGCAACATCACATAGCATTGCCAGAACACCTATGCTAAAAAAACATAATCCATGTGCCTAATTTTACATCTGCAGAATAAGGCAGTGATGACAACATTTTGCATCTAGATGCCTTTAATTTACCTGTTTCTTGATCATGTGATGCTGTCTTATACTACTGAATAATTCCTCAATATTTATAAGAGCTTAGGAGAGGTAAAGCAAATCAACTGGAAAGGGGAATTCAATATGCACAGCTTCAAGTACAATGAACTGCTTTATGGAACCCTTCATTCAGCAGTCAAGCAGTTCTAAATACACTTACTTTTAAAGGATTAAGCTACAACTAATTTAAGCTACATAATACAAAATTAAAGTATACTGCTGAGGAAGAGAAACAGCCTAAGTGTACCTTAAGCAATTTTACCATTTTGCCTAAGTATTCATCAGTGGTCATGTGAAATTGTGGCTTTACATGTGGGTGATGATCTAGTAAGTAAAGTAAATTATTAGATTTAGCATCTGTTTTAATACACTTGGTCATGGGATCATGATGAGGACAACATCAGCTGAGAAGTCTGCCTGAGGCAGTACACCTGTGAAATCATAATCCAGGTGTACTAAGGCAGGACAGAAGTCTCTGGCAGAGCAGAAAGCCATACACTTAATTGATCTTAATTTTCAAATGTTGTTGACACAATCACAGACCTCAGAAACAGGTCTCCACACTTAAATGGTTTCCTTTACAACTCCAAAAAATTTCCAAAACTAATGTCAAGCAACTGCTCTTCTCACCATCAGATACTGTTCTGTGCTCTGCAAGGATTTACTTTATACTCTCTAGTTTACACAGCAAGGTGTGTTGATACTACCTTGTTTTATTTTTGTTGTGGCACCTTCAGTAATGACTGACATCAAAGGGCATAAATGAGACAGATAGATGGAGGCATGGATTTCATGCAAAAACCAAAATAGCAGCAAGTCTCCATCAACCATTCATCATGTTTGCAAGCAAGAGTAAAATTATTCTGTTTTCACAGGATGACTGGATTCCATAAGCAGCAAATCCATTTTTACTAGTACTTAGCAGGTAAGAAATATTCATAACTTTCTACCAAAATACTCTGTTCCACTCTCTTCTCAAATGGTTTAAGATTAGAGTACTGCAATTATTTCCCAATTAGTTTAAAAGTATAGCTTTACAAGAACAAGTCCACACACTCTGCCTCCGGACAGCAGACCATTATTGGTACAATTCAACCTCTGTACTCTGTTTCCATTTATTTCAGGAGGTGATGGGAAAGGGCCTCACACTTTCCTGTGACAGAGATAAATCTTCTCTCACAGCCAGCCTTGACATCTGATTTCAGGGATTTCTGACATGGAACCCCCTTGTGAGAACAAGAGAGCTATCAGCAAGAATCAAAAAATGTTTGGATTTGAAAGGGACCTTTATGAGCACCTAGTTCCAATCCAACTCTTCTGAAAACACACTCCACCAAAGCCCCTAGAGCTCCTGCTCTAAAACTCTTACTTTTTTAAAAGTATCTCATGGTAAGTGCTGCTAGAACAGCAAGGACTACTGAATTAGATAGAGCAGGGGAGGAAATATAGCTGTTACTTATTACTGCAGCAGCACGTAATACTGTGTGGCTTTTAGACTGCAACTTAAATGCAAAGTTCTGAAGATCAGAAGCTCACCACTTTTTCACAGAACTAAATAAACACAGAACAGGAAAACCCCACTGTTTTTTGGATTTAACCTTTTACACACTACAATGACTGTAGTTTTCAACTACATTTCAACTATGTCCTCCCATTTAAGAGGACGAAACAAAAAAATGTAATAAAACCTCACATGCTATACATTAGACTAGGAGAAAAATAACAAGTTTTAAATACTGGGATTCATACACAGTAACTTACCTGCTGTCTGTGCAGGGTTTATTCCTATACCATCTAGGAAGAAGGAAAAAATGAGAAAAAAGAAGATGAAGCAAGCATATTACAATTTATTACATTAAACTTGCAGCTCAAAAAACATACCAGCAAGATACAACTATTACATCAGGTCATCATGCAGCTACTTCCTATAGCCAAACACATAGAAGCCCACAAGAAAGCTTCAGCACAGAGAAGTCCAAGCTATATACTTGAACAAATCTGAATTAGTGGTTTAGTACCTTCTCCCCATGCATAAGAAATTTAAATAATGCTGCAATATTATTAAATTTGCAGTAAGTAGAGTTTGTGAAACATGAGAAAGTATTAATTTTATCAATAAACTTTCACTGAAACCTCAATACAAAAACTATTAAAAATATATAAACTATATTCTTACCATTTGTTATAATGGCACTTGTTGCTGCAGGAACTTTGAACTAAGGGAAATAAGAGTAGGACAAAACAGCATAAGAGACATAGTTAAAGCCGAAAATATATGGGTAATATTAAAATTGTGATTTTAGCTGGTTCACATACCAAAAAAATGAGAAAATAGGGCCTTGAGATTTATAGATATAAGTAACTTTAATGAAAATGGATGACTACTTTAGTAGTAATTCCACCAAGGTAACGGAAATTTTTTTCTAACTATCATGCAAATGTACACCTGAGACATGTACCAGGTAGCTCTAAACATGAAGGAAAAAACCCAATAGATACCACATGCTATAAATGAGTTTTTTTCTAACTAGCACAAGTCTGGTTATGAGTTGGTAAATTTTAAGTTTTTGAGAGATGTCTCAGTAGAAACTTGCTAAGGCCAAATAGCCAGAACTTAAACACTTCTCTGCCCTGAGAGTTTTAATCACAGAGAGGATAATGCACTTCCCCTGAAGAACAACTACCAATTTTGCCCAAATTTTGATCTTTTCCATATATGTATAACTTAAGGTACTGTGAAACTGGTTCCTGAATCACAACTCACTACATAAGTTAATGTTAAGCTATGCAGTTCAAGGAATGAAGAAACATTCACATAACGCAAAACTTATCTGTCATTCCTTTCAATGCCAGTTCACAAGGGGCTTCATTCCTGGCAAAGAGTTCAACAATCTTTGTTTGCTCTTTGCTAACAAAGCATTTCATTCTGCCTGGTCTCAAAGAGATGTAAAAAGCTTCAGTGCTGATCCAGAACAGCCTGAGGTCAAACTCCCATAGATACTCAAAATACGCACACCAATTAAAAGAATGGCTTCCTAAATATGAATATTTAAATCAGTAATGATTCTCTAAATTCACTACTCATATGACCCTATCACTAACTAACATTGTGGTTCCATGAGTAGGCAGAGTTAACAGGTTTAATGGCAACCCCCACCAGAAATGGCACCTCCCTTTCTACATCTCCAACTACTCAGTCACACTCATTTCTGGTACCTCACACTTGCTTGTTAAACTTTCAGTCTAGGTCTCTATGTATGGGTTGTGTTGGCACAGCTGTATTAATACAGAATAAAACTAACTGGGGAAAACATAGTAAAAACCCCCAATTAAATAATCAAATATTTTTAACAGCAAGCAATATTCTGTATAATGTTCTCTCCAAGTAAATTTACAACAAAACCAATCCACCACCTCCCCCCACAAGCTGTGTCTCCTCTAGTAATTTCTGTCACATAAGGAACATACTGTAACTGTGTAACAGTAACAACATAAGGAGACTCAAGATGTGGAGTCTATTGTCCTTCCTAACTGCTTCATTGCAATTGCAATGCTCAAACAAAAGAAATTTTCAATAACTCAAAACTTCCCACATTTTCCTAAAAAGACAGAGGGAGAATTGCAAGAACACACTCTCAGCTGATTTTCTGCCAGTCAGATGAAGAGACTCATCGTGTTTCTGAGCACTCGATTTTACTGTTTACATCCAGTGAAAGCCTCTTAATCTTTGTGTGCTTCATCTGAAACATGATACACCTCTTCAAACACATTATGTGGACAATTTAAACACCTAATGATATAGGATTCCATGTGAAAGATCCACACACAGAAACCAAAGAACATGCTATCCACATCTTCCCTTGAAGAACAGTGTTTTGAATCTATGCCATATGGCTCATCTCAATACCTTCCACAATCAAAAACTCTCTGTCTTCCAAAGTCAGACATTACTAGAAGCGAATGTGAAAAGAGTTTAAGAGTTGCCTGATAATTCTGAAGATCTTTCCTGATATTCCACATGAGAAATTTCAGTATTAAGTATCCAACAGCAGTACCTTTTAATTCTCTTCACTGTCACAAATTTTTATATCACTGTTATAAAATAGTTAATTACTAAAACCAGTCACCTCAATGCCATCTGCTGATGCATAAATTGAGCAAGGATCACTAAGTTTAGGATTCTGCAAGTTCTGCCAGGCCCCCACTGAGACCAGTAAAGCTTGTGACCATCTGTAACAAACAGCAGCTCCTTGTGCTGAATTAAGCACTGCATTTTTATCATTTAAAAAGCTTTAGCTTTCAAGAACATGCAAAACGTTAAAAACCAACATCATCACTCTCTACTTACTTCTTCTGCAGCAAACTTGAGGACAGCTGTGAAAGGTGTGCTCTCAGGCACGCTTAACCTGAAACCACAACACAAGTAAATACGTGGCTGCCAAAACAAACCGAAAAGCAACTTTATCTGCTGTTAAACTACTGACTGAAACTTCACTTTCACCAATGGAAATACTTTGGCCAAAGCTGTGCAAGCACTGAAGAGGGGGAGGACAGGTCCCGGGGGGGTGTGAGATGTTTCAAGAGAAGCCTTTTTAGCAGAGAACAGGAACACCTTTTAGTGTCAGCGGATGTGACAAATCTCAGGAGGTGTGGGAGTAAGCTCCACAGCAATGTCCTCTCCTGGAGGAGAGAACTCGGCCTCAAGCTGTGGCAGGGATGGTTCAGGTGGAACGTCAGGAGAAATTTTTCATTGAAAGGGCTGCCCAGGGTGGAGCCACAGTCCCTGGAGATGTTCAAGAGAGGCCTGAGGCAGCCCGCAGTGCCATGGTCTGGCTGACAAGGCAGTGACCGGGCAAAGATTGGACTCAACGATCTCAGAGATCTTTTCCAACATGGAAGATTCTGCGACTCTGGGGAACGGCAGCGGGGGGAAGCGGGACAGCCCCGAGAGCAGGGCCAGCCACGGACACCGCCCGTCATTCCAGACGGAGGGAGACGAACGCCGTTCCCCCCAGACGGAGGGAGACAAGCGGAGCGCCCCGCCGGGATGCGCCCCGTTCTCACTCCCCGCCGCCCCACGCAGCGCCGGCACTCACACTTTGTAAGGCAGCCGGGGGTCCGAGGTGAGCGTCACTTTAAAGGTGACCTTGGACCTGCGGAGAGAGCAGAGGGTGAGGGCTGGCTGCGGGGGCTGCGGGACCCCGGGAGCTGCCTGCCTCCCTCCCTCCCTGCCTCACTCACATGGTGCTGCCGGGGCCGCCGCCGCTCCCACCGACACGTCAGCGCCGCCCGCAGACCGGGGGCCTTCGCCGGCTCCGAGCTGCCCGAGGCGCGCCTGGCCACAAAGGGAAGATAACATGCTCCGCCGACCCGCTATGAGGCAGGGAGCGGCCGCGTTCTTCCTCAGTGCCATACTGCAGCTGGGAAAGAGAGAGGCTGAGGGGTGGTTGAGGTGCAGCGGAGAATGGTGGGGAGGCTTTCTAATGAGGCAGTGGCAGTGGCTGTTCCGCGGCCGAGGTAGGACCCCGGCACCGGGACCCGGCGCTTCCGCAGGCGCTGGAAGGAGGCGCAGGCGGGACGTGGAGGGAGCGGGGCCGGGATTGCGGGATCGGCGGGCTGTGGTCACACCGGGAGTATGTAGGAGTGGGGGGTTTGGTAACCGGAGGCCACATCTGGTGTGCTGTGTCCAGTTGTGCACTCCTCAGTGCAAGAGGGTCCAGCGCAAGAGCACCAAGATGGTGACGGGTCTGGAGCATCTCACCAGAGGGAGAGAGGAGAGCCGGGGCTGTGCATCTGGAGGAATGACTGGGAGGGGATCCCATTAATGCATGTGAATACCCCAAAGACGAGTGCCAAGAGAGTGGTGCCAGACTTTTCAGTGGTTCCCGGTGATGGGGTGAGGAGCGATGGCCAGGAACTGAAACACAGGATGTTCCACCTCGACGTGAGGAACAACTTAGCACTGAGCGTGACAGACCACTGGAACAGGCTGCCCAGGGAGATCGGGGAGTCTCCCATTCTGGAGACATGCTGGAACAGGCTGCCCAGGGAGATCGGTGAGTCTCCCATTCTGGAGACATTCAAAACCCACCTGCACACACTCCTGTGCAGTCTGTTCTAGGGGAACCTGCCTTGGCAAGGGTTTGCAGCAGATGATCTCCAGAGGTCCTTTCCAACCCTAATAATTTTGGTCTGTAGATGCTTGTTAAAGTTACGCAGGCAAAAGTGGATGCAAACACTGATACCTATCCCTTAATACTTAAAACTGTTCACATCTTCCTTGTGATGAGGGAGCTAGAATGAGAGTTTTGTTTGATAGTGATGGATACTTTTATGGCAGAAGAACAGTAGGTTCCAGTTTTGTTTGTGACTTCGGACAAATCAATTTCTCTTTAATAAGGTGCCATGGAACCACAAAGTAGCTTTGCCTTTAGTAGTCGTGTATCTGCTAATGCAGATGATGACTGAGTTTTCAACTCTGTATCAGTATTTTCCTTACAGAATATATTTTGTCAGATTTCCCCATTTTTTGCTGTCTGTAGGAAGGACAGCATTCACTGCAGATGAAGTGCTTGGTGTCACACACTGATTGCCAAACTGGTCATGGCAAAGCCTTTTATTGTATAGATCAAACTGAAATTATAGACCAAACTGAAAAAAAAAAAGTAAAACCCCAAGAATTTCACTATCAACTTGTCCAATGGCAGTCATATTTTCCAGTGTCTCCTGCATTTATGTTACTGTCTTTTTTTCATAGCTGTATTGAATTTGAGAGTTGTACACATCTTGTAATCCATTAATGATCTCATGGCTTTTTCATCCCCTGCTTTTAAGAGATCACACTTGAAATTGGAGCTAATTAATAGTCCTCTCTTAGTATTTAACCTTGCATTTAGTGCATTTAGCTAAATGTCATCCTATATTTATCTTTGCCCTTTTCAAAATCAGCTGGTTTTTTATGTATGTATTATGTTATGGCTTTGGCTTATGTAGCTTTCTTATCTGCAGCTTTCGTTAATGCATTGCTGTCTCCTGTTTTCCAAGGTGTTGAATGCAGATGTGAAATAAAAGACTCATCTTTTCAGCAATTGATTTCTGGCCTCTCACTATAAGTACTTCCCCTTTGAGGAAATAAACAGATGCAAATCTCCATGTTGTTGGAACTGGACTGTGTTTAGTATCCAGATTTACTTGGTTAAATCCAGTTTGAGCATACGTGTGTTAGTGCTGAGAACAGTCTAAATCCAGGCCTGGCTAGTCCTGTGTTCTGGCCACGTGGTCTTGTCCTCTGTCAAGCAAAGGAACCGACACTTGTGGCCAGGTAAAGGATCTGTTCCGGGAACTGATTTGGCAAAACACCCAAAAATTTCGTTTTAGGTGATTTAATGTGGTTATCCTCAGAAACCACCAACAGAGAAGGACATGAGGAAGCAGAGATGGTTGGCAGTGATACTGTACTGCCCCTTAGGTCAGCTGAGATGCTGTGGAGCTGTATCCTGAGCAGGCATCAAGAGTTTCAGGGTAATGCCAGGGGGTGGTGGGCTGACCCTGGCTGGATGCTGACAGGGAAGCTGCTCTGTTACTCTCAGCTGGGCAGGGGAGTGAAAACATGAAGAAAGGCTCATTGGTTGGGATAAGGACAGGGGGAGTTAAGTCACCAATTGCTGCCATGGGCAAAACAGACTCAACTTGGGGAAATTATTCATCAAACTACAGTATGGTAATGAGAAGTAAAATGAAATCTTAAAAATTTCCCCCCTCTCCCTTCTGGACTGAACTTTGCCTCAGAGTTCTCTACCTCTTCCCTTCTGTATGGTTCCTTTCACAAATTACTCCAGTGTGGGTCCTTCCTGGGACTGTGGGACCTGGAGCACCTCCTTCCACTCCTCCACTAACCTTGGTGCTTGCAGAGTGTCTTCTTTCACATATTCTCAGTCCTTTCTCTGCTGTTCTGTGGTTTTGGGTTTTTTTGTTTTTTTTTTGTTGCTGGTGGGCTCAGCTTTGGCCAGCAGCAGGTTCATCTTGGAGCCATCTGGCATTGGCTCTGTTGGACATGGGGAAGCTTTTGACAGCATCTCAGACATCCGTGTAGTCCCTGCCTCTACCACAACCTTGCCACGCAAACCCAACACACAGGATCAGGATCTTCTGATGCACAGTCAGGCATGCAAGTGATTTCATGAAAGGAAGATCTTTTCAGTGCTGCAAATTCAGAATTTTCCTATGCTGTCTCAACCTGTTTAAAAAGCTGGCAGTGTTGATTTTTTTCCTTTATGAGAATTTACAGTGAATAGAGGAAGGAGCATGTGCATGATTTTTCTCTTTTAATTGGGAGAGTTAATGTGACTCGTCCTGTCTGCAAACAGGCCAGGGATGGTTTAGAGAATTGTGTTTCCCTAATGGGTTTATATACAACAACATTCTCTTCAACTCCAGAAAAACTGGTTCATTTAAAACAAAAGTCTGCCTTTTTTTTCCCTGTGAGTGAAGCCAGAGAAAAAATTATTTCCTCATAAAAATTGTTTTTTCTACAACTTGTAATTACCCAGACTCAAATATGTTGTGTTACAGCAATGAGACCTAACTTTGACATTTCTAGCTGTGTAAATGACAAAAGGAATGACAATTTCAGCAATTAATTAAAACAGTTGGGATCTGGCAATATGTAAACACAGTTGTTCAATTGAAAGCTTTTAGGTTAAGAAAATGAAAAAAAAATTACAAACCAGAAAATAACATTATAACCCCCTGGATGCTGTGGATGTTACTGAGATGAGCTAGAATACCTCTGACAACTCTTTGGGCAAGACCTATTTGTTAATAGCATTGCAAGAGAAAATAACTGCAGTAAATAGAATCTGTTCATCCCACGTGCCTGTACTGCATCTGGCTGGGCCTAGTGTAATTGAGTTGAGAAAAATAAGCAGAACAATAGACAGAGCACAGCGTAGAAAGTACTGGAGATCTGTGTTTATTGGTGCTTGGCCTGCTTTTATTCTTTGCAGTTTGTTTCCTTCCTATCCTCCTTGCTGTAGTCTCTGTTAGCTACAATATAGTGCTGAGCATTCAAGTAGGGAACTGGAACTCACAGTTTCCTTCTCCTACAACAAGTCAACAAGACCAGTTTGGAGTCTGGCCATAAAATTAAGCATGAGTGTCTGTATTTTTGAAAGATTTCTCCCTTGCTTCAGAAGCACACACTGTGACTTAAATCTTCTAACCTTCGTTACATTTCTACGTTCATGAGTGCATGTGCCATTGGAAGAATGCCGGTTTTCGTGCCCATGTGGAGGAAGAGCTTATTACATAAGCATCTATGCTAAGTACTCTATGGAAGTATTAAATATGGAGTTTTAAGAAATGCAGTAAAACATCTTCCACCTGCAAAATTTGCTTTTAGCTTGTCAGTTTTGGACTGAATAATGAATGTTTGACTTCCAGAAATCTTTGGTGAAAAGTACCAAATTTAGCCTTTTAGCAGGTACCATAAAGTTAGGTCTTGGCATCAGCATACTTTTCTTCTATGCTTGCAGTGAATTAAATAATGAGAATTGCCAAGCAATGTGTTACAGGAGGGAGAGGCAGAAGACACACAGTGTTTCTTTAACCAAACAACCACTTCCATACAAAGCACATGGAACAGTCTGATCCCTTCAGCTCTTAGTGAGGCTGGGATTTCACCAGGGGGATTGATTAACTCCCTTGAAAAAGGACAGGTTCTGTTTTTTACCCCCACTTTTGCATTGCAATCTATTCCTGGCCTTCTGGCTACTTCTGGACCTGTCCTTGTACTTGGGGGACCCAGCAGTGAGTTAGTTCAAATCAGCAGAAGACATGGATGTTTCCCTCCTGACTCAAAGCATTGAATGACCTCAGGGAAAGGTCTGAGCTGACACAGCAGAGGAGGCAAGGAGATTTCCCCCTTTTGTCAGTAGGGAATCACAGAATCATATAATTCTTTGGGTTGGAAAAAGCCTGTAAGATCATTCAGTCAATTGTTAGCATGTTTGGACTTGTGGTCTTAAAGGTCTTGGGGATAAGGTTTCCTCTTGATATCATTTCCTATAGTCAGGATGCTGGAGTCTTCCTTTGGCTGGTACATCCCCTTAACTCTCCTTTGGCTCAGCGTGATGGTGTCTCTTGGCCTGATTTTCCAAGCTCATAAATATGAGCCTCTGTGACCCATCCCAGTGCACAGAGGTACCTACTTGGCTGCAGGATCCTCCTGTCAGCAGAAGTCATCTACCTTTCTCAAGCAGAGTCTGGTAGGATCCTTCTGTAGGAAGTCCAGCCCTCCAGAAAGGAAGCAGTAGCACTGCATCATCTCTT